TGATTATTGTAAATTGATAGTGGTATTATTTCATAATTGGTCGATGGGAATTTCAAAAAACCGCCTACAATATATTACGTTAAAATAATGATAATTAATGTCGTTATTATGATAAAAGAGTATAAAGTTGCCCTTAGTCGAAAATGATAAATAAATATAAGTGCAGAGCTCTCTAACTAACAATTTGTCTTCCATTATAATAAAAACAACAAATGATCACAAATCCATGTTTTGTCATTTGAATCCAATAAAATATTGGAAATATCACAATTAAATTGTACAAAAACGCAAAATGGTATCTAGGAGTTTATATAACATAAAGGTAAGTTTTAATATCGATTGAATTGTTTTTAAGGCGAATTGTGAAGACAAGATATCTCCTATCTATATTTTTTATAAATATGTAACTAGCCACGTGTTTTGCAGCAAACCACATTAAATCTTCCTGATAAAAGGAAAGGCACACATTCAACTTGGTGCTGTTTAAAAATATTCTTCGACTTTTGTTGTTATATAGTCACAACTTGATCAGTTTAGAGCACCGATTCATGAAGCTTACGGGTTTTATTTTATATTTTAGATTTTACTAAGTAGTATTGTAACCTATTTTTCAATTAAAAAATTTATAAGTATGAGGAAAACTATTTTTTTTATTATTATTTCAAAATTTCATTTGTTATCATTACCACAGATATGTTACAATTTTCATAACTATATTTACATTCTCTTTTTCTCGATTCTTGATTGTGACAATCCAGAATGATACGCATCATTAGATTTTCATTTACCATGAACTACTGGACGGGTCCTTCTAGTAGAGCAGGATTAGTGAAACCTTCTGAAGGACTCGAGATCAACCCCAGTTTTTGGTAGAGTTTTAGTTGTTTTAAATCTTATTAATCTACAAAGTGTTTTGTGAAAGTTTTTTCTCTTTACGTCGTCTATTATTTTTTGCCAGGACGTACGTAGTCACTTTCTCTAGATTTAAGAGTTTTGAGTGTTATTTGGGTATATTTCGCCTATTTTTGTTTATTGACATGGCTCTGTAAGACAACACCAGTCCAGTACCTATTAAAAGAGAATTTATGAGAAAAGAAAAGAGAATTCAACTGTTCAGCTCTTCAAATGGAAAACCAAAAGGTAAATCTATCAAAAACATTCTTCTAATGTTCATAAGTCACCAGTCTGTCGGATATCAGTATATATATAGTAGTCAACAAAAGAAACGATACAAGGCAATGTATTTTCCATATATAATGAAATTGGATACACTGTTCCAAGGTAAATAATTGCCCAATTGGTCTTATATTTACAGAGCGTTATTTTCTTATCACAACTATTGATTTAAGGCAAATACGCGAATTTTTTTTTGCAATTTTTGTTATTTCCAAAATTGTATTTTCACCCCAAAAATTCAAAAATCGATATTAGAACTTAATATTTAAAACTTAAACATGGTCTGCTTAAATTTTGAATGCCTTTGCATATATTTGAATACTTAATTGTCATCTTCGAAATTAAGTGCCGACTTTTGTTCAATAACACGGTATTTTCTCACTTTGCAATTTGGTCAAATTCTTTTAATCATATGCATATGCATTTGCTTTGCAAATGAATATTTTTTATTGGATAATTTAAGTTTTTCCTATTTATTATATTTTATGATAAATTGGAGTTCAAATTTGTGTATTGTTACTTTTGTTGACTAGTATATTAAGAATTTTGTCTTGTATATGTGAATTAGGACTTCAAACATTTTGCATTAAATAAAAACCATCAAAACAGTCAAAATATCCTTATTTGTTTTTTTTTCTATCTTGCTGCAAGATGTCTAACATCCAAAGATGTTAATGCGGGGATCTATTAATATACTAGTAGTAAGGTCATAATATGATATTAATTTTTCTCAAAAAAGTTAACCTTTTTTTTTTTTTTTTTATAAGCTTGAAGAGTTTAACTATTTTTTTAGATTTCGGGGAGCCAAATGATGGCTCTCAATATACCTTCTTATTTGACACTGACCAATTAAGATATCAGCTATCCTATAATCACACGTTTTGGTACACGAATGATCCAGTCAGAGAACCGCAAGAATATGTACCAATGGCAGGATCCAATGAGATATAATATGATTGCATTTGGTTCTTACATAATTTCTAAAATATCACTTTCCAGTAGTCAGTGTATATTGTCTTGTCGTTATTTGTTATTCATCTAGACATCAACAACAAAGTAATCGTTACATTAAGTACTGAAATGAATTTTGAAGAATCATTACTAGCGCTGCACTTACAGAATCAGATATTGATATGTATCCTTAGGGTTTTTATCACGGTGAGGTGTTTTTTTTTTCAATTCCGGGTAGGCTAAAGTACCCCTTTTGTTAGTTAAAAAAAAAGAGAAGAAGGATACCAAAGGGACATTCAAACTCATAAGTTGAAAAAAAAAACTGACAACGCCATGGCTAAAAAAGAAAAAGACCAACAGACAAACAACAGTACACGAAACATAACTTAAAAAACCAAAGGCTGAGCAACACGAACCCCACCAAAAACTGGGGTGATCTCAGGTTCTCCGGAAGGGTAAGCAGGTCCACATGTGGCACCCGTCGTGTTGCTCATGCTAGTACAAATCAGGTGATAAGTCTTATTCAGTAGGTCACCTTTTTTTCCAAATCCTCGATTGAACACGGTTGGATATGACTATCTATAATAATATGGAGAACTAAGATATTATTCTTTTTTATGATAGTGGTGTGTTGTGATCAGGGCAAAGACGTTTACTCCACACATGTTATTGTTCGTACTCAAATAAGGAAATATATATAGCCATAGCCTTTTCGTAAAAATATTCCTTAAAGTTTCAAAAATATTTTGTCCGGAAATCAAAATGTGTATGCCTCCATCACTCATCATATACAAGTCGTCTTCATCACGACTCGTTTGAATATCAAACTAAACGGAAACAATAAACTAAAGTAGCATACCATATAGCGGGTTATTTTTGCTCATTTTGGCGGATAGATGAAAATCGCGAAAACTTATGCATACGTTCAATACTTTCTAATAGCTAAGGCGTTTTGTGAACGTTCTATTTCTTCCGATCGGTAGGTCAATAACGGTATGTGTTAGTTTTAACAACATAAATACCAAAGGGCATTGTAAATACATATGTATACCCTTATCAATTATTATCAAATTATATAAGAGTTGTAAGTCACTCTTGATAATTTTATAACCTTATTAGTACATCAAAGGTCCGGTCAATTTCGTAACTAACCAACCGTAACATTTACAAAAAGTTTGTACACCTGTGAAAAATATCTATTTTTACTGGTATTCCACTGATTAACTGTGTCAGAATATAATCAATAAATAATCATTGAAGGATGAAAAAATCATTTAACCATAACAATAGACACTAATTTCATTGAATGACAATAACGATACTTCCTCACAATTTGATTATCTCGAACACGAACTTCCGCTAGCAAAAATGCTACGAGAGAAGAAATTTTGAGACACTTTTGTAAATATTTGACAATTCAAAACATGTGTTTCACCTCTTATATTGTTTCGCATTATCCGTAATGATTTCTTTTTACTATAAAAATAATTATTTCTTCTAATGTCTTGTATTTGTACAAAACTACAGCAAAGTTATGTTTTCCTGTTTTTCTTCCTGTCAATTTTTACAACTTTTTAACTGCAACCATTTCAGTAACCGTCAACAGATGTAATTGTTTTCGTTTACTTTTTTTTCCCCTTAATCGCGAAATTTTACAACCGCGAAAAAAACCTTACTATATGGTACATAAGAGACATTAAGTATTCGCTCGTGTATGTAATAACGTATTTGATTTTAACGAAAGAAATCTCTGTATTACTGAAAAATCATTACACCAGGGTTTTCGATATCAAAAACTTGTCAAAATATTTACTAAAATTTATCAGCGCTACAAGGACGTTATTCATTATATAAATCAACGTACAGACATCTTATACGTTCAGGTATTTCACATCCAATCTTTTATATTAATATCCTATACAAAGTACAAAAATGTCGTCATTCCCCTCAAAAGTTAACCAAACATTTAAACAGACTTGTTAAAAAGGGATATGGTTACGATACGGTTGTCAGGTCATTAAAGATGATATTATGTCAGTAACTGCTAGTAGTCCTTTGTTTATTTGTGTCGATCATTTTGCTTAGTTTATTCTGTTACCTATTCTAGCATCGGACTCGGACTTCTTTTAAACTGAGTTTTACTGTGCGTATTGCTGTTTGTTGGTTTATTCCACATTCGCTAGAGGTAAAGGGGTAGGGTTGAGATCTCACAAAACATGTTTAACCCCGCTGCATTTGTGCGCCTGTCCAAAGTCAGGAACCTCTAGCCTTTTTTAGTCTTGCATGTTTGGTTTTTTTTCTATTTTGGCTCATTTATATGTTTCGAAGTTTAGTGTGACGTCCATTTTCGCTGAACTAGTATATATACATTGTTGTTAAGGGGCCAGCTGAAGCCCGCCTCTGGGTGTGGGATTTTCTCGATGTATTGAAGACCCATTTGTGACCTTGGGCTGCGTTCTGCTCTTTGGTCTGGTTGTTGTCTATTTGACACATTCCCCGTTTTCATTCTCAATTTTACACAAACTGTAAAATATTAAAGCAAATATCCCGAGCACAGGAGAACGTTTTTTCCCTTTCTACACAGCACGAGAAACAACTTATTTCAAACAAATTATATATTTCGAGCAAATATATGGTGTTACTATTGACTAGAAACAACAATAGTTAAAAACCCACATGTTTAATTATTTTAAAACCATTTGACATTTTACTATTTTACATTGGTTAATGAGTATAGTTTGAGAAGCTGTTAAAATTGACCTTTAATATATCATCTGTGCAGACAGGTCCGAAGTTACATGCATTAAAAGTAATATAAGACAATTAGAGCCAATTTCAACGTGGTAAGTACTAATTTAGATAATTTTATCATTGCAAAATATTTTAACAACCCGTAATGATCAAAAATCGGGTCTATATAAAATTCACATTGTATTAAAAATTAATCATCACTTCTGGATTCATACCGAAGATGTTTAGTAGATTCTTGCTCTGTGTGGTTGTTGCTTATGGTAAGTCACGATATTTTAATTATATATAAAATTAGCAGAACAAGTTGTTTTGTTGTAAATAATGTGTGTGTCATTGATTGCATTGTTACAGTAGCACTTAACGGAAAATCTGAAGAGATATATTATTGGGCAGAAAAAGTAAAATAACAAAAATACCGAACTCCAAGCATAATTCAAAACGGAAAGTCCCTTATCAAATGACAAAATCAAAAGCTAAAACACATCAAATGAATGGAAAACAACGGTCATATTCCTGACAGGAGTTTCCTTATGTAGACAACGGTTGATTAATCCTGGTTTTATAGCTAGCTAAACCTCTGACAGTCGCATAAAATTGCATTATATTGACAAGAATAGCATCTTACACCTAACTGTTGCAAAACGTTTCAATTAATAACCATGTTTGTTTTCTGGCCTGAAAATATCTAAACCGTTTGACGACTCTTGCAAAAAGAGAGAAAAGAAAAAATATTGCAATACAAAAATTTATAAGTCAAATAAAAGTAGACAACGCCATGGCAAAAAAATAAAAACGATGAAATGACAAACAATATCATCACACTACATGGAAAACTAAAGATTGATAAAAAAAACAAATCCAACCTAAAACCAGGGGTGAACTCATGTACTCCGAAAGGGTCAGCGTCTTCTTTTCCACATGTGACAACCGTTATGTTATTCATGTTCAAATAAAGTTATGAGCTTTATCCATTGTGAAAAAATTATTGTTCCCAACATTGTTACACGAAATTTCATATTTTAGACGATACTGAAATTCCCTGACCCATGACGCGATATTTAACGTCTAAACTCTATCTGGACATGGCTAGGTATTTAAACATAATGTGTTTCCTTTGTTATTATCAGTACTGATCTGATGGGTGTAGCGGTCTATCAACTAATTAGTCCATATCAAGTGCGTCAAGTTTTTTAATTTATGTTCTATTTTCATAATGTTTCACCACTGCCGTACGTTAGGATTTAAAACATGTTTACTCCCTTCATACCCTTCACATTCTGTTTGCGCCTAGCTATTTTAAGAAAGGAACCATGTAGTTCAATGCTTGCTGTGGTAGCCGCCTGCTATGTTAATGTTATGAAAGTTTATTTATTACAAATGTTACTCAACTAAGACTGTTAGTTGATCGAGGGACTTTTCCCACTTACCATCCTTTATATTTCATTGATTTGGCCGTTAGGTGACTCTAACTGTTTATTATATACTTTTCTTTGTATAGTGTATAGTTACAGCGTTTATTTGTTTCATAAAAAATCTGTTATATTCATTGAAATTTGTTATTACTGTATCATAGAAATCAAATGTGTTAAACGAACAGTAACAAAAAAGTCAATAACAAAGTGTGTATGTTTTACATGTTCAGTATGCTGTGATGACTGTCCCGATCAGTGGTCTCAGTACAAAGATCACTGTTACTGGCCGTCAACATCTAGTGCATACAGCTGGAAAGCTGCCGAGGTAACATCAAATAGACTATACGTGCTACATCAGTTAATAATTTACATTTCATTAGGAACTATCATTTGTGTTTTTGCTTTGTTTTTTGTTTCTTTCTTCAATTTTATTTTTTTTATTTTTTTTTTTATATATATACATTTTGTTTTTATTTTTATATACTCATATATATACTTTAAAGTAACAAAGTCAACCCTATTCGTCACAATTTCATATAATTACTTGCCAAAATGTAATACTAAATCTGTATTAAGGAATTAATGTATATACATATATCTATGTTATATGAATTTAAGGCGCAATTACTATACAAGTAAGCCGCCTACCAAAACCAATGACAACAATGCGTGCTACACAAGCAGCATAGTAGATAACCATAGTCAACCTGATAGTGGTGCACAACAGTCTTTGCTCTGATATTATAATATTAACAAACAACGACATTTATATAGGAATAAGATACCCGTGGGTTGTTGTGCATCTGGCATTATACAATTCGATGTGTCATAATCAATTGAATGAAATTGTTGTTCCTGCGAAAAAAACAACAACAAAAACATTAAATAACATTATACTATTGTCGAAATAATTATTGTTTACTATATTATAAAAAGTATGATTTCGATTTTAACAAATTTGTAGAATGATATTGATTCTGCAAGGACAAATTTGTATAAAAATGATATATTCAAATTTTATAGTTTAACCAAACTAAGAATGTAATCAGGGGACTTCAATGGGGAATTAATTCATATGTATTTCATTTTATTACTAGGGCTAAAGTTGGGATAGCTTTTATGTTATACCAATGGTATATTTCGTAACGGAATGATAACTACCTGTAAATGGTTTTATTGATTTTGTATAGCAATCGAAATTTACTGTGAGGTTTTCCAGAAACGTCTTTTATGCTTTTTTATATATATTGTTAAAAATCTTTGCAGCAAGCATGTGAGAGCCGTGGAGCATATTTGACAGAAATAGGGGATCATGACGAGAATGATTTCATTGCCCGAATGGCGTTTGGTGCAGGTAATTATAACTGACATTTATGAGTGTATAAAATGTATTTTTTTTTGTCATAACCATAGTCCTATCCCCTTCCCGTCATTCACAGCTTACCTTTTTTCCACTAATACCCGGATGTTTAATTGTCAGGAATAATTCTATTGGTACCACTAGGTGAATAAAAACTACTTATCTTTTTTTAGCACTTGAGTTCACGCTGCACTTATATGGGCTCGTATTGCTGATCATTCATTTTGGTGTTGTTTGGATTATTGAATTATTTTCGTTGTTTGTCATATATTTTGTTGGCATGGTAAATGCTACCCCTTTTTGACTCATATTTGCATGATTCCCTATTCAATATCGTCTACCGTTTTATCACTGTTCTATCTTTAAAAAAAAAGAAAACAATCATTCATCCATCTTATAATCAAAGAACACAGAATAATAAACAAAAAGATAAGAATGATGAATGTTTTAATGTTTAAAATACACTGAACATGTTTTTACAGTACATAAATTGGTGATTAATGCAAAAGTATTTGCATCACTATAACTAAGACCATTTCATTGGGATTGATAGGGTCCACACTAAAGTTTCAATAAACGGCATTACCATTAGAAACCAATCAACTAAGTCAATTCATGCGTTCAATTTTAAAGAGCTAAATAACTAAATAAAATATCTGCAATAATTCCACATTCTTTGTATTTAAACTCTCAGAAATGACAATAGATATCGATCAATACAACAAAAATAGAAATAACCAAAATACCGAACTCCAAGAAAACTTCAAAACAGGAAGTCCCTCATCCAATGGCAAAATGAAAAGCTCAAACACATCAAACGGATGGATAATAATTGTCATATTCCTGACTTGGTACAGGCATTTCCTTATGTAGAAAGTGGTGGCTTAAACCTGGTTTTATAGCTAGCTAAACCTCTCACTTGTATGACAGTTGCATAAAATTCCATAATAGTGGCAACAATGTGTGAGCAAAACAATCAGACATAATTGGTAAAAAATTAGGGTACAGCGGTCAACATTGTGTTAAAATCTAAATCACTTAATATATTCTAGTATTAAAACTGATTGTTCATTCGTAATAATAAATCAAAAATCGCAAAAGGTAAAATAACTTGTGTTTAAGATATACAAAATTATTAGAAATGTATTACTCCAATAAAAGCAAACCATAAAACCTTATACTGATCATTGAAACTTCAATACCTGAAACAAGGCTGACTATTTCTAAACCAAGTATAATTCATGAAAGCAATACAACTTATTTCCAACGGAATTCTTATAAATATAAGCTTATTGTGGATATTGTAAGGTATAAAATTCTTAATCGATTTATCCTTTCTTGACCTGTTGATATTTTTTACTTAATGAACTTATAGTTCGTTTCTTCTCAGTTCGTCTTTGGTCAAAATTCAATTATGATGTAAAATTTTCTAGCTTTCCCCTGAATTTTCTATTGTGACTTCACGAAAAAAGGCGACAATGCCTAACGACGTTACATAGAAAGAACACGTATATGAGGCAAACAACCCATCAAAAATACAAATTTTATAATTTTGCGCGTTTCGTCTGCTGTAGCGCACGAATCAACACAACAGGAAGGTCAATAAAATACGAAATTAAAGCGCGTTAAAACCTAAAATTCCGAAAAAGTTGTGCTAAACAGCTAACTAAAGACAATCTATGTCATGGGTAAATCCTTGGTGTTTCAAATAATAATTCAAATACAGAAAAAAACGCTTCAGACGCACTATTTATAACTGGTAATTTGTTTTTGTTTAACTTGGTCGATACCGCTGTCGGAAGATTGTAAGTCCCTTTTGGTCGTATAGTTTCTCCAATATTCACATATATGTACAGCCGTGCCTTGCAATTTTTTTAGTTCGAGCTTTCCTGATAAAGATGTCAAGGAAAGCGCTTCGGATGCACACAAAGTAGGAAATATCATGTTCATGTACTATATCTTCACAATAATAACCAGTTCTATATCAAATTGTGTAAATCTTATTAAATGATTTTATTTTTTTTATTTAAAACAAGGTACTTGGTTCTTTATGGGTATTGTTCATACAGAACAATCTGGTGGATATGTTACTGCAAGCAATAGTGAAGGACTGGAATATAGTAACTGGTTAGAAATTCAAAACTCCGCATCAGCTGGACCAAGTTGCACCAGAATGGGCTATCTTGGCTACTGGGAATCCTACTCGTGTGACGAAAAACAATATTTCATTTGTGAGAGGTATAATATTGCTAGATTTTGAAGCAAACGTACGTGTATTTTGTGGAAGTAGGTAAACCTCGACTTTATATGTTCAACAAATGTTCTGCTTCCGCACTTTTGAAAAACCGTTTATATAATATACACATCATACATTGTTTTCCTAAATCATCGAAGATTTCTATGCACGACAAAAAAAGATTGAACTAACAGCATCACACCTCAAGTGAACCTTTGCTCAATAGTCAATGTCCCGGCATTTTATCGACATAAATTATAGATTTATCTGTAAATTTTTAGTCATTAAATACTAATTATTTATAAAAATATAGACCTCATATCTATCATTAGGATTGACCTTGAACGGTTTTTACTATTGTGTTAAGGCCCTTGAGATTTATATCCTCCTAAATGTGTATGCGTGTTTTTGTTTGTTTTTTTGTTTTGTTGGGTTTTTTATATATGTAGTTTTGTCCTTCCAAAATTGTTGACACGAGGGTAGCTGAAAAGGTTAACGCCATAATCACGTGTTTTACATACGGAATTTATTTCATTCTTTTATTCCTCTAATAATGTCTTCTTGACATTTACAACTTGTCAAAATTCGTGACATTTGCTAAAACACTTTACTTTGATATGGTATGGTGGGTGATTAATGTAAATAGGGAGACATTTACCCTGTCTATTCCAGTTGAATGGTGTGTGATTATTAATGTAAAAAGGGAGAAAATTGCCCTGTCAATTCCACTTAAATGGTCGGTGATTAATGTAAAAAGGAAGACATTTGCCCTGTCAATTCCACTTGAATGGTGGGTGATTAATGTAAAAAGAGAGACATTTACTCTGTCAATTCCACTTGTCGGACACCCTTTTGATATTCAAGCGATTCTGTTTTAGTCACACGTTTGTCTGTTTTCAAATGGTTGCATTGCATTTGACCTGGCAACAGTGTGCAAAATATTCATATACTAGTTAACAACAACAAAAACTAAACGAGGCATTTTCTATTTATAATGAAATTGGATACTCGGTACCAAGGTGAACAATTGCCTAATCTCTTTAAATTTTAGAGTAACGTTTTCTCGTCTAAACCATTGGTACAAAGCAAACACGTGAATGTTTTTATTGAAATAATCAATTAAGTCTGATTAAACCTTTGAATTCCTTTGCACTTATTTGAATACTGTTTCTCATCTTGAAATTGATTCCCATTTCTGTCTGGATTTCAAGCAAAACGATTTGTCTCCTACCGACATTGGCAGCGTTGCACCATCATATCCAATCGCTTTGATAATGAAACTCTTTCATTCGATAAAAAACACAGGTTTTTCTATTTAATATTCTTATTGATAAATTCAATAAGTTCGTATGTATTATTGATACTTTTCGTTGATTAGTACATATTATTAGTAGTAGTAGCATTTGTAGCAGTGCAAACAATATTAGTATCATTACAGTGATGAATATATAGGCAGTAGTTATTTTGGAACATGGTTATCAAACACCAATTCATTCAGCTATGATGGTCATTACTACAGAACTGTTGGCAAAAAGGCAACATATGACGAAGCTCAGGTAAAAGGAATACATATTTAACTTGACTGTTTGCAACTTTGAAATATATGACGATGCGCTAGGTAATATTTTAAAAAAAAATACTGCGTCGTGTGACTGTTCACTAGGAATTTACCTCAATGACAATTTCAAATTATTTACTCATTCTAAAAACACAGGATATATTACTGAAACACGCAAACAATGTTATTAGGGCATAATATGAAAAATAATGGACCGATACAGAAAATCGACAATTGAGTTATATTAGTTTAATAGGTACACTGAAAATTGCAAGCTTGGGTTCATCGCTTAGTATATCAATCTTACGTTTCGGTCAATTTTCCTGCATTTTTCCTTCATTTTTTTTTATCTAGTTGCACACTAAGTATGTGCGACGATTTAACAATGCCCTTGACGACACTGCTGTTGGTAACGATCATGACCTTGAAATAGTAGTAAGGGGAGATAAATCAAACGTGTTCACGTAGATAAGTTTTATTTCGGTTGAAAAAAGACTCCCTCCCCCCTATAAAGTGTGCTTCCTTTGCCAGTCGTTTGTACTTAGAGTCGTTAATTTTATAAAACGGGAATACTTTTATTTTTTCTCTACTGCACGTTTAGCTTACATCTTGCGTTCTTACAATCGGATCTCGTATATGCAGGTCTCCATGTGATAATCGAATGCTGAATATAAATCTTTTATTAACAACTAAAGAATGCCAGCACAGTATATTTTCAAGTAAACTGTCTTCAAACAGTAAACCATGGAATTATTTGGGTTATTAAAATCAATGAACAATATAACTCGTGTTGTTTTTGTTCTATTATAGAAAATGTGTGAAAAAGCTGGTGCGTATCTTGTTGAACCCAACGACGAAGGTGAAAATGTATATGTGCATGACAAGATGCACGAAGCATGTAAGTGCTTTAACCGGAAATAAATAAATCTAAAATGTAATCAACGATCGCAATTATTAAATGCCGATGTATTACAAACGGCATTTTTTTTCATTCAAACAAATATCAGGAATGTTGAAATAGTATACAGTATGGTTTTTTTCAAATATCATAATTCAAGTTACAAAAGTTTATTTTTCTTATTTATAAAAGTACATTATGAAACCGATTTAATTGGACTTGACAAGTGTTTCTGGAATTAAGTTCATCAGGTACGCGCTCGCGACAAAAAGGGCTGACTGTTAAATAGTATCATTTTGATTCCGTTGTGTAATATGGAAAGTATGTGCAATGATAACAAAAAATTCCAAGAGTATACAATTAGAACAGTACAGCAGACTACATGAACAACCAACACCCGAATCACACAAAGAACAAATGTACAAACAAAAACGAACAAGAAATGATCCAGATAGTCTGACTTAATAACGGAACAAAATATGGTTGGATTAAACAAGTGTAAAGTGTGCACACCCCGGGGGCCACTCCCTTTTGACTGTTTAGATAATAATCTCGTAAAAGTAAAACACTTAATACAAACATGCAGAACGCAGCTACCAACAGGTATGTAACAAACTCTGAAAAAAATGTGTATTCATTTGTAATTAAAAAGTTACCTAGTAGGTATACAATTAAAAATCATTTAAAGGGTAAATAACAGGTTTAGGAGTAAATGAATTTACGATGACAGCTGCAATTGATGAAGCACGCACAACACAGATCCCTTTACAATTCTTAAAAATGTAATCAAATCATTAGATAACTTTGTCAAATGATTAATGTTAGCATTTCAATCAATTTTTCTGTTTGTGAAATTGTTCTGACATGTCATATGGAACTGGAACACGGTTATTTTGTCCGCTTTAGTTCCATACAATCCAATATCCTAATGGTGGTCAAGATTTTGTTTTTTCTAAATTTGACTGCCAAATTTTCAATTCCATATAAGATTACTCATACTGTTTTGTTTTGTTATAGAAAATGTATTAAAAAGTTGGAGCATCTCTTGTTAAATGACAATAGCTATGTCTTTTTTTCCATAGTTTATGGTCATTGGCGATATATTGGAGGATCCGATACCAAACGGGAAGGATATTTCGTCTGGAGTGACAATAAATCTCTTACTTTTAAGAATTGGTGGCCGGGAGAACCTAATAATAAATATAATGAGGATTGCATGGAAATGAGATATTGGGGAAAGTGGAATGACGTCGATTGTTACCATAACAACCGATATATCTGTGAAAAGTACGTAAGACCAGACATATCAGTTAGAGTTTGGATATATATCAATATATACTTTATTGCGAAGAATCTATGACAAACGTGATAATTACTTTCCAATGTCAGCTTCCCATTTTTCAACAATAACATACTATCTGCTCGGTCGTATGGTGTTTGTATATATATCTCAGCTGATACGTTACGCCCGTGCATGTTCACACTATACGGACATCATTAACAGGCGTATGCTTGTTATACAAATACTACTCCAACAGAGTTATGAGGAAGAACGACTGAAATTGACAGTAAATAAATTTTGAGGTCACCTTCACGCATTGGTTGGCCGATACGATGTGTCGGCGTCTCATGTCACTAGCGACATGTTATCGTGGTCTTAAATCTTTAGATACTAGTATTATAGTCTTATCGGAAAGTTAATCGATTGTGTCCTATTCCCGATTGTGGCATTTCTACTGAATGTGAATTAGCATGGAGGGTGATGCATGTATAGTAGGGGACACCTAGCCCGTCGACGGACGCAAACTCGCTCCTTTTAAAGTTCATGCGAGTATCTCAGATTCTGTTTGTTTCCTTGATTTGTCTCTTCTTAATTGATTAACGAGATTTGAACATCGTTTAACTATTGTCGCCTTAATGAAGTAAAACATTAGATCGCAGTTGATCTTTTAATTACTTATATAATGTTTTAGGTATGAACACTTGAATTAACCGTTGCGACCCATTAACTTTGTAAATAAACAAATTACAGATTGCGAAAATAATTATGCATACATACCGAATTTTAATCACACGATTGGCCTTTTTAGGTTTACATTGATTTTTCAACATCAATTTTTAGATGTTTAACATACCAAAAATAGATTACTTATTCGTTACACATTATAGTTGTGTACATATCTTTAGGCTTATAACGGATATATGCAGATTATTATCGAATTGCGGTTACAAATATGTGTATTTGATACGAACAAACAGATGTGAAACATATATTGTTAAGGCTCTACCAATGTCCGAAATTGGTGGACAGATAATACGTATGCAAAACGATCATTTGTTTTGGTTTTCCATTTTACTGTCTGCCGTGTAGGTGGCACGGTAGTATTTCCTGGTCCATAAGGGATAATGATAGCCTTTTTAGACTTTTCACCACTTTCTAGCACTGCCCAAAATTCTACGTACGCAGTTTACTGAAGTACTTTCATTATAATTTTCAGAAATGAATTTAAATATGTATCATGACCGTTTACTTTTTTTTGCTATCTTTAAAAACCTAAGGCCACTATTGCTTTTAGGTCTTTTATCATGCAGTGAATACAAAATTTAAAAAAAAATTTCAAAAATTCATTTTCACCTGTATGTAAAATTATTTCATATTTTTCTACACCTGATTCATCCATCAGTTTGGGAAAGTATGTTCAGTTGATACTCTATTTTTTGTCCAATCACACTGTTCAGATACATTGACTTAAGTAGGGTACACAAAAGAGCAAACTAAATTCCGGAATGCAAATACTACCGTGCCACCTGTAGACTTAACAAACTTATTATCAAATTCAAATCGTAGTCAAGACGATACTTAAGGTCTAGATTTTTTTTCCTCATATTTTATTGCGGAATTTTGCGAACTCATTCCAAAAGCATGTTACGATTTTGACATGATGATTGATATCCACATATCACAAACAATACCACAAATCGTATTACGTTTTGTAAGTGTGACATGTCATACAAAAATCTGATTTGGCATACATAAATACAGTTTTAAATGAAAATGACTGAAGTCTTAGTTATTCATTCAACAAATGAGCTTTGTCTGTCATATTTGTTTTTCGTAAATTGTTTTGTTTTTATAAATTAGGCCGTTAGTTTTCTCTATTGAATCGTTTCATATTTTTCATGTCATGGCCTTTTATAGCAGACTAAACGGTATGGGTTTTCTCATTTTTGAAGGCCGTATGGTTGCCTATAATTGCTTACAGCCACTTTATTTGAACTTTGGTGGATAGTTGTCTCATTGGGAATCATACCACATCTCCTTATTATTATTTTGGTATACTTTTGTGTCATTTTGGTGAACATTTCCTTTTCATATACCATTAATTTAAATTAATTCTTAAATTGAGTAAATTAATGATTTTAAACTTTTTTCCAGAACAATCGGTGATATAGGCACGACAGATGCTAAAGTCGGAACAAATGCACCAGTCACAACAAATGCTGCAGTCGGAACAAATACACAAGTCACAACAGATGCTAAAGTCGGAACAAAAGTTGAAGTCACAACACCACATCCGATGGAATCGACGACCGATTATTTTTATTACTAGTTATAATTTCAATCCTACAATTACAACTACACAACGTATAATTGATTCGATATCCTCTGTAACAATCGTTATATCTTTTAAAAAAATATATAGATGTAAACACATTTTCCAATAAAATAGTGCAATGATCACAGTTTAAAAGTCATTTCGGGTCTTTTATAGCTGACTATGCGGTATGTTTTTTGCTCATTGTTGAAGACCGTACGGTGACCTATAGCTGTTAACTTCTATGTCATTTGGTCTCTGGTGGAGAATTGTCTCAATGGCAATTATACCACATCTTCTATTTTTTTAATATTGAGTGTGCATATATGATATTATCTTACTAAATCATTGCCAATCAGACATGTCCCTGAGAGTGTTCTATTGTGTTGTACGAACTCATTTATTTCGCCACAGGGCAATAAGAGAATTTTTTAATGGCATGCAGACCTAATTTGGTGTTTTTGGAATTTAAAAACAGATTATTTCCGAGTATACTTGAAGATGTCCCACATATTTTAGGATTCAAGACAAGACAAGACAATTTTATTCTTTAAAACCATTGTATACACATTGGTACAAAGAATGAAATAATAATACATAGTATACAAAATAAATTGTGCACATGACAAGATATGAATGTTACAATAACTATACAAGATCATTTAGTTATTATAATAGAAAAACAGATAGACAAAGGCTAACCAGGAAGACATGCTAATGAATTTATAACCTTTATAAATTTACATATATTTTTTAACTTATTTCTATGTGTTGTTTGTAATAATTTACAAAATTTAATTACATTTACTCTGTTACAATAACAATTATCCAAAAACAGTTTTCTTGAGTCGTCTAGGGATCTACAATTCAGAAGAAAGTGAAATTCGTCACCTAATTCTTGACATTGACATAAATTACAATATCTCCTTTCTCTATCTAAACCTATCCATCTACCAGTTTCAATTGGTAATCTATGATTACCAGTTCTAAATCTACAAAATATAATCCTATCTCTATCTGGTAATATATCTAAATATTTTTCGAATTCAAACTTATCCTTATATAATCTGTACGATAAACCTTTTGACGAATTACATATATCTGAACGCCAGTTTTGTTGAAATTGGTCAAATAACTTCTGTTTTAAACTATTATTTAGCCATTTTGTGTTACAGCCAGTTTGTGTTAACCAGATATTACTATAGCCACATGTTTCAAGAATATTTTTTATAAAAATAACCCATTCAGACGTACAATTATTCTGTGAATATTTAAAAAACATAAAGTTATACAAAATGTGTGACAACTTATTTTCTTTGCCGTGAACAATTCTACACCAATAATTTACCATACGCAGTTTAATGTAGACTGCCATGGGATAGACACCAAGTTCGCCATAAACCATAAAGTTTGGGGTCGACTTCTTCAAGTTCAGTAGTAGCTTGCAAAATTTCAAATGTACTCTCTCTATAATATCTATATTACTGAACCCCCAAATTTCACACCCATAAAGTAAAATAGGCTTCACTATCTTATCGAACAAATCATACTGACATCTCACAGAAAGGTTATGAACTCTCCCCTTTTTAAGTACATCGTACATAGCTCGATATGCCTTAGTAGATAATATCTTTTTAGTACTTGCAAAGCTACCTATCCTTGAAAAAGTCAATTCCAAATATGGAATTTCTTTGACAACTTCTAATTCAATATTATTAAAATAAAAATGAGGATTTTGCAATAAACGTCCACTAGAAAAAATCATAATTTTCGTTTTACTAGAATTTACACTAAGTTTCCAAAGTTTACAATATTCACTAAATGTATTAAGTTGAGACTGAAGAGATTCAACTGATTCAGCAAATAGAACAGTATCGTCTGCATATAATAAAGCAAAAAGCTTAATATAAATATTCATCTCATTCTCAATTTCTTCAGATATACAGCTTAGTCCCACAACATCATGCATTTGTAAAAAAGATTCCAAATCATTCAGATATAGGGAGAATAAAAAAGGAGAGAGATTTTCTCCTTGTCTTACACCAATATTACAAGGAAAATAGTCAGATGATTGACCATTATATACAATTCTTGATTTAATACCACTATACATATTGAATATTACGTTATAAATTTTACCATTAATTTCGTGTCCAAGCAATTTCTGATACAATCCATTTCTCCATACACTATCAAAGGCTTTAGCGAAGTCAATAAAAGCACAATACATTTTTTTCTTTTTACTTTTCATTAAGCTAAATAACATGTAAATAACAAATAAATTATCTGTAGTACTATATCCATTTCTAAATCCTGACTGATTTTCACAAATTATCTGATAATCATCAGAAAAATTGTTTAATCTTGTATTCAAAACAGAGGTAAATAATTTACCAAAGCAACTAATAATAGTGATAGGCCTAAAGTTTTTGGGATCCAATTTGTCACCCTTGTTTTTATATAATGGTATAATATTTCCCAATAACCAAATCTCGGGAATAATGCCACTGTCAAATATAATATTAAACAGCTTTACTAATATACTAGATAGAATATGAAATGAATGCTTCAAATACTCATTTATAATAACATCGTCACCAGAGGCTTTATTATTTTTCAGATTTTAACTGCTTTTTCAATTTCATCTACAGTTATGGGTACATTCAATGACGTATTTAATCTACCAATGTCGTTTTGGTTGTTTACATTTTCGCCATCTTCATTTGCGCTACCAGCATTCAATGTTTTAAAATAATCTAACAATACATTCATAGGTATATTAGGGCTTTTCTGTTTTTTTCCACTATTCAAAATTTTCCAATATTCTTTTGGATTAGTGGATTTCAAATTATTTATTCTATTTCTAATTTTTTTCCTATGTTTTCTCATACTTTTATCCATAGTCCTCTTATATTTTTTCTCTAATGATTTAGTTTCGGCCTCCTGAAATTGAGATCGATTTCTTCTCAACTTTCTTTTTGATGATTTATAATTTTTCCTGGCTTCTTTACAATCATCGTCAAACCACGGTTTGGAGGCCTTCTCATATTTTTGTAAATTTGGATTAACTTTTTGCTGGGTATATGTGCCAAAAGTACTCTTAGCTGCATCGGTTAGTAAATTACTAATACTCTCTACTGCGGTCTTTATGGTTGTTTCACTTATTGTTGCGTTGTCAACCATATTTACTAGTTGAGTCAGTATTTCTTTTACTCTTTCTCCGTCTATATTATCAATAAAGTCTGCAGTTTTAGTACTCTCCCAGTTTTTAATCTTTTCATACGATGGTTCATCTTCAACCACTTTATTTTCAATTACTGATCGAACATACGGAGTTGCATGTATATATACCTTAAAAAAAAATTTGGGAGCAGAGTTTTACATCAAAACTTCTTTTTGTTTTAATTGTGATTTAGGCACCGTAGAGAGAAAAGGTCGGTGAATGCTTGATCATTACAAATTATGCATAAAAGCCAATTAGATAAAGGACATGCTTACAAGTTAATATAGATGTATTGTATGTAAGAATGGATGTTAAACACGCTAATTAAAAAAACACACACACCATGAAATACTTTTAATATGATATAATTTTGATATCCTTATTCATAGAGCAAGGTATGCTCCATGTATATTATTGGTGCTCCATGTATATTGTTGATAAATGGCATAACATCCGATATATTGATGTCATAACAATTCATTCATCGCAGAATATTTACGAAAAAAGTGTGAAGGATAATATTGATATTTTCTAGTATAACTTAAATGTAAGATAAAAACAATGTGTAAAAAAAACTTTTTTCTCTCTCTCTAGCATTTGAATGATTATAAAAGCGAGGCGAAAGATAACAGAGGGACAGTCAAACTCATAAGTCGAAAATAAACTGACAACGCCATGGCTAAAAAAATAAAAAGACCAACAGACAAACAATAGTACACAAAACACAACATAGAAAAACTAAAGACTGAGCAACACGAACCCCACCAAAAACTGGGGGTGATCTCAGGTGCTCCAGAACGGTAAGCAGATCCTGCTCCACATGTGGCATCCGTCGTGTTGCTCATGTTAGTATAAGTTACTGACAAGCCTTAAGTGGTTTGTTGTATTCAGAAAATAACAGAAAGTGTATGCTCTTGTCCTCAATCAGCTAGAACATTGTAAAGATAAACAAATACAAGGTCTAGTTTATCCTCCAAAATTGGATGTCTTGAATTGCCAACTACCAAATAACACAATCAACAGATACAATACTTACCAAAGGTTCAACTGCATTAATTTTGTTGCAAAAACAGTGACTTATATCGTGAATGAGATGTTAGAAGAAAACATTAATGGGATATGAATTTGGCGGCCATATTTAAAACATGTGATCAAATGTGGCCTAGTACTTTCATACAAGAGTTGAAAGGTTGAAAATGTGACTTTCAAGATTTTGTATGTTAAATATGTTACCAATCAAGTCGTGTTTGCCATTCGATCAAAATAATGAAATTGTGATTTTCCGTAGGGTTTCAGTGGGACATATATGTCACCACATTAAATGGAGTCTGGTTGAGGTTGACATCAAAATCATCAATCTTTTTTGGAAGCAATTCATATAGTTGTTTCAGACTTTTCAAAATCAGCCAATCAGTATCAAAGATTGGTATTGGCTTTTTTTATTCGTCCTATCGAGGCCGATTTATCATGCATTGTACATATAAAAAGAAATAAATTAATTAGTGAAGTGTTTTTTTGAAAATGATAAAAAATGTATAATGGTCAAGGCCTAGGGCCACGACGGTTATGTTACAGCAGTTGGTCACATGTTTTGATTAATGTCTCATCCCCGGGAGATGCTAAATATGCATACTCCATGCGACACATTACATTTCGATTAAAACGATAAATCCAATAAATATTGACTAGGAAGCTGGCAATGAGCTTAATAATATATATGAATTCACTTTTATATAAAAGATACGGAAATAAGTTACCGAAAAGTAGTTTTATCCTGAAACTTGCATTTGAAGTCACAATATCAGCGACAGGGAAAACTGAAGAGGGGTGTTTGAGAAAACAGAGAACTGGGGACGTCGGCTTCTGCTTGTTTGAAATAAACTATAGGTCGATATTCCCCTGAACAACATGGTTTGGTAAT